TTTTTGAGATGGAGTCTCCCCCTGTCGCCCAGGCTGGAGTGCAATGGCGCGATCTCGGCTCACCGCAACCTCCGCATCCTGGGTTCAAGCGATTCTCCTGCCTCAGCCTCCTGAGTAGCTGGGACGACAGGCGCGCGCCACCACGCCCGGCTAATGTTTGTATTTTTTGGTACAGACGGGGTTTCGCCATGTTGGCCAGGCTGATCTCGAACTCCTGGCCTCCTGATCCACCCGTCTGGGCCTCCCAAGGTGCTGGGATGACAGGCGTGAGCCACCGCATCCGGCCAGAACTGGGACTTTTGACATCAAATCCCTTCGGCGCCTCCACGCCGCCTTCCATAGGAAGGAGCTTTTTAATTTGCCAGAGTACTTCAGCAGTCACATTCCATTTGGCGCTCACAACACACTGTAAGGGAGGGAGGACAGTTATTACTGTTTATATTTTACAAGTGATAACGGAGAACCGCCAGAGAGGCTTGTCCGCCTGGCGGAATGGAGACTTAGAAGCTGGTGCCAGACTTCTTTCTGCCCCGGAGCACTCCCTGCTGACAGACCTCTCACCGCCTTTTAAAAAACAAAACTGGCCAGGCCCAGTGGCTCATGCCTGTCATGCCAGCACTTTGGGAGGCCGAGGTGGGCGGATCACAAGGTCAGGAGATTGAGACCATCCTGGCTAACAGGGTGAAACCCCGTGTCTACTAAAAACACAAAAAATTAGCTGGGCGTGGTGGTGGGTGCCTGTAGTTCCAGTTACTTGGGAGGCTGAGGCAGGAGAACGGCATGAACCCGGGAGGCGGAGCTTGCAGTGAGCCGAGATTGCACCACTGCACTCCAGCCTGGGCGACAGAGCGAGACTCCGTCAATAAATAAATAAATAAACAAATAAAATAAATAAATAAATAAAATAAAAACAAAACCAAGCCCTGGGCCGTCTGAGGCAGAGAAGTGGCCCAGGCCCAGAGGCCTGGTGTTCTGGGGAAGACATGTTCCCCCAAGACTTCCTCTTGAAGATTGGCCTTTGCGGTACCACAGAGCCTGCCAGCTGTGGTCAGAGCCTTCCAGATGGCTGGGGGAAGGGTGCGGCACAGGGAAGGGAATAGAAACCAGACAGCTGGCACCAAAACGACCTGATTCCTTCAAGGGGTCTTAGTTCTGACTCATCTGCTGGACAGACAGACCTTTGTCCACAGTGAAACCACTGGCCCTGTTTCTTTTGTCTCCCTCTTCGGAGAGAGTTTGCCTCTTTTTTTTCTTTTTTTTTTTTGAGACGGAGTCTTGCTCTGTCCCCCAGGCTGGAGTGCAGTGGCCGGATCTCCGCTCACTGCAAGCTCTGCCTCTGGGGTTTACGCCATTCTCCTGCCTCAGCCTCCCAAGTAGCTGGGACTACAGGTGCCCGCCACCATGCCCAGCTAGTTTTTTTGTATTTTTTAGTAGAGACGGGGTTTCACTGTGTTAGCCAGGATGGTTTCGATCTCCTGACCTCATGAACCGCCCATATCGGCCTCCCAAAGTGCCGCGATTACAGGCTTGAGCCACTGCCCTGGGAGAGTTTGCCTCTTGAAGGAGCTTGGTGTACAGGTGTGACGGTCCCATAAAGGCACTTAGGAAAACTAGGCTTTGGCCGG